AGTGGGCCAAATCACTATTTTAGGTGGACAAAATTTTTTTTAACTCTTCACTTACTTTAAACATGTTGTTCATTGAGGGAAAAATAAATAAAAATAAATATATACATTTATTTGATTCAAATTGACAAAATAATTTTCCATAGCTTCTTAAATTATGTTTATCCGAGTCTCGATGTATAATCTGTATATTAAGTAAAATACTTAAATTCATATTACATATCATTTAATATTTAAATAACAAACATGTATGCAATATTATATGAGTACTTAAAACTATACCTACAACAAAATGAATCCAACCCTTATTATTTTTATTTTTCATGATGATATAAGTAATAAGTAGATAATATTAATAAATAAATTATATAGATTAAATTTAAAAAAAATTAATTCTTTGTACTTTATTTTAAAAAAAGAAGATATATTTACATAATATTACTAAGTTTCTAATTTATAAAAAAAAATTCAACTTTTATCACTATCAATGTCTGTAGAACAGTCACTTGAATCAAACTCCGAGTCTTCAGTACTATTACTCGAATCTAATTCTAAATCTCTAGTAGTATGAGTTTCTATAATATCATTTAATAAATTCATTGCTTCAGAACATAATTTATTATTTTTCTTCTTTATATTTTGTGTACTTTTAGAAGTAATGATAGGGTCAGAGGAAATTAAAAACATATGTAAGATATCAGTATTGGTGTCTATTCTTGAGGTTTTACGAGTGTTTTGTCGCCTAAATCTTATGTAGTCCTTGTTTCGTGCTTCTTGCGCTTCTTCGGACAAAATCCCGGTAGGAAAAGGAGCAAGGTGTATGGCTCTTGAACCGTGTACCAAAATCTTATGGACGCTCGGGGGCATTCTATACCAGGGATACAATTGCAAATATAACTTTAAAGTATCTTTCGCATAATTGTCGTATTTTTCAGAGTTCACATTATAACTACACGCCAAAATACTTAAAATAACTTTAAAACGTTCAATAAGTATTTTATTTAACCCAGTTATCTCTGAAACTTCTTGTGCATGTTCAAAAAAACGCCTTCCTATATTACCAGTATTAGATGTACCTTTGCCCTGCACAACTTTGTCTACTTTTATTCCCAATTTCTCCCATAGACCATTTTGTATTTTCTTTTTTTGAATAGCTATTTCATTTTTTTGTTCGACACTTGCCCTTTTATTTGACTCTAATATTCCTTTCTTATAAGCTATATGAAGCATGCATTCTAAACATTTTATCCATGCATGTAATGGGGATAGTCCATATTGTAAATTATCATCATTGCATTTTAAGCTATATATTATCTCTAAGTTGTTCATATCTTTAGGAAAACATTTACAAATATTGCAGGTTTGACTTGATGAATTACATAAAGTGTTAATTATTTTACCATCAACCATAGTAAGATAGAAAAAAAAATGTATTTGAACGGAATTTGGTCCTTCAAAAGGTTTTAAGTCATTTATTTCTTTTTTTATTTTGCTAACTTCGCTTTTGGTATTATAAGCGGTTTCTTTTTCAAATAAAAACTTAATTGGCCGACAGTATCGGGTAGATGACGATTTTTGATTTTTCCATAAAACGTTTTTAAAATCACTATTATTTTTAGATTCTACAAGCTCTAAAGGAACTAAAGAAAATAAAAATAAATTGCCATCACATTTTTCGTTTATACTAACTGTTTCACTTTCAACCTTGGTTTCTATAAACTTTTGGTGGTATTCAGAATGGCCTGAGCTGCCGTCACATCCCCATTTAAAATGTAAATGTAAATTTTTAAATTCATTTAAATTTTGATCACTTATATTAAGAGATTCTAATAATCTTTTGGCCGTGTGGTTAACTAAATTTTGTAAAGGTATACTGGCTCCATATTCATTTACCTCATAGTTATCGGGATAACATTTAATTTTAGATTCTTTAATTTTATTATAAGAAGGATATATGTCAGCCTTACGTTGTTTTGACCCTTTTTTTAACATTGAGTAGCTAAACTTTGTTAATTTAGCGTCAATTATCAAAGCCAACGCTTCATCTGCTGTATAAGGTTTTACTACAGATAATCTATTATTATAAGTGTGTTTGATTTTTAAGGCACGTTGTGGAGAATATTCTGTACTTTGTTTCAGCAGGTCAGCTGCTGCGCGATTTCCATCAGAATATAAAATTGTTTTGGTCGCAAAAATGATTTTATCATTCGAGTTTTCATTTAAAATTGATTTTATTTTTCGTCTTTTAGTCTTATCGGAACTTTGAATAAATGGTTTAATTGGCCTTCCAACACTGGCCGTAGATGTTGAAGGTAAAGACATTTCGGAAGTTGACGGGTTACAATGAAGTTCACGTGGTGGTAGAGCAATATTAAAATTCAAATTTAACCATTTTTCATTATATTTTCTAAAAACATTTAAAGTGCGTTTTGATGATGTCCATTTTTTATTTAAAGAATTACAGTAACCAGATATTTTGTTTTCCAAAACCTTATCATAGTCTTCTCTCATTGTATCCCAGTTCATTATTTTAGATTTTACAAAATTAAAGATAATTTTTTTGGATGCCCCGGAAGATGGTTGTAAAATTTTACAATTATTGCGTAACACGTTGAACAAATCGTTATTTTTTAAAGTAATTTCTGAAAGAAAAAAAACGTTTTGCTATAATATTGGCGGTTTTTGGCAGTTGAAAATGAATTAATATTCTTTAAGGTACATAAAGATATAAGTCTATAAATAAATTAGCCTCCCCTAATCCCCCCTTTTATTTTGGGAGACCATAATATATTTATTTTACAACTTTACATATAATTTATTTTTATTTTATGTTAAATCATGGTATACAGAAATATAAATATAAGAAATGTATATTCATTTTGCTTACCTTGTACATTTACGGTATTCATTTTGAAAAAAAAATAGGTGTCACGAATAGTACAGTATACTTATTTTATATTTACTACTTTAAAGAAAAAACGCAAGCATAGACGAAACGTAACGACTGTCTAGTGGTTAATGACCTATATCAGACCAATTTCCCGTAATTATTGCTATTGAACGCTGATATTCTTATCATGTATACTATTAAGATATACTATTTTCAAACATTTATCAGTTTTTGCTTTACGAAATTTAATGAATTTTGTCCACCTAAAATAGTGATTTGGCCCACTGTGCGGCACTTACAGTTTACACACGCCGACCGATCGTTACACGACGGAGATCGCGACCCACGCTATTATTTTAAGTCAACGATGAACGGGACGACCACGCATCAATACAAAGACGGCTACAAGACACAATATATACAGGTATTCCAAATTGCACGTGACAGCGGATTTCAGCATGATATATTTAAATTTGGAGAAAATAACTTATATGAATATCTTTTTGAATCATGTAATCTAAGTTATTTTGATATTAAATATTTTTTTTATTAATTTGGATGGGGAAGTTCGTGGGGTAACTTTTAAAATTCAAATAGGAACCTATATTTTTGTAATATTATTCGTATACAGTTTAATTTTTGATGAAATTTGACGCGTCGCTTATATTAATGCGTAAATAATTAAAGGAGCTATCGACATCTGAATATTTGTGATAATTTATAAAATGTCTACATTAAATAATACTAAAAATGCTTCCGTTGTACGTCTTTACTAATCTTGGTATAGAATTATCAATTAATTACAGTAAACAGTAGTTAGTATAATTAGCAAAACTATATCCGTATTATCGCTTGATATTATTTTTATTTATGATGGTCTTTTCATAGTAGGTAGCTATTGCCTATTTCTTAATCTGAGAATCGATGAGTTTAGAATTTTTGATAATAATATGTATAATCTAAGAGTGTAAGATTGTGATGATAGTGTTTTGTACTTTCAAATTATTTTATCAACTAGCAACGGTGAAACTCGCTGTAAGTGAATACTCTTGGTCGGTGAAACTCGCTGTAAGTGAATACCCTTGGTCGGTAAAACTCGCTGTATGTGAATACCCTAGGTAGCTGAAAATCATTTGAAGTGAATTTCCTAGGTAGGAGACAGGACTTTAGTATACAGCAGTTAGAAAAATCTAGTAGGCAAAACCAATGATAACGACGTTTAAGATGTTGGTACCTCTGATTTGGTGGCTCTACACTTTGGCGGTGTCATTTTAAACGCGTAAATAATAAAATTCTAATTTGAGCGTCAGTGGCGTACAAATGGGGGGGGGGATTTCGGGATAAATCCCTCCCCAAGGACAAAAAAAATCCAATTTTTAAAGGGTTAGAATAAAAAATAATATATACACGTCATGAAAATATCATCATGTGTATAAAATTAAATTTTTGTAAATTATGATGGAATCACAAAAATATTAATTTTTCGTCTGAGGAGGTAAGGACTAAAGAATAAAGATATAAATAAATGCTTGCTATTCCCATACAAATTATTGTTGTGTAGATATTAAATATTGTTTATCATTATTATTAAATTGTAGCTGTCTGTGACCCGTTGCATATGTGTGTGTGTGTGTCTATTTTTGTAATGGCCTGTAATTTCCCTTATCTCTGGTTTATTATTCATAATAATATACACGATTGTCGGATTGTCCAAATGTCCGAGTTCAGTGTCGTAATCTAATCGTTCAGTGTACAAATCTATGGTTGTACTGTCGTGAACTCGTGACTTTTTTATTTATTTTCAAATACTATATCAAAATATTAAATCAATGCAATCTGCAATAGTTATCTAAAAAGTAAAGGTAAGTCGATTTTATGATTTAATTTGTTTATAAGTTGTCTTTAATATTCTTAATGCATTTGGTATACACTAGTACATTTTTTATTGGTAAATTATTAGACTACATAATGCGACTAAGTGAATATACAAATACGTAAATGTTTAACAGTGTTCAAAATACTTATGCGTAAATTTTGTTCTTGTAATAACTATCGTTCTTTATTACATTATGATTTATTTTTTTATTTTTAAGACTCGGTAAATATAGTGGTTATGGCTGAAAAAAAACAACCCAAAATTCATTTATTTTTTTCAAAACCTATCCCGGGTACATCATCGCCACATCAGCTCTCTTCTTCAGATTCGCATTCACCAGATTTGCCATCAACAATTACATCTTCTATACCATTATCCTCATCAGACCCGATAATCACAGAGCCAACTTTAAATGATACTAAAATCACTGATATTTTTGATATTGCGTGTTATACAAACAAATTGTTGTCACAAAATGAAAAGGCAAATATTTTAAACAAAATATGGAAACCTGATTTAAATTATAATTTTCCTGTTAAAACATCAGTTGTTGGTAAGAAACAAAAAATTGTAAAATTAAAATTTCAATTTAAATGGTTTTTAAATTTCCCTTGGTGGCGTATTCAAAAAGTGAGAACGGAGCATATTACAAATATTGTGTCGCATTTGCTAAGAACGAAGCAGGCGTTAATAATCAAAAATTGGGAGCATTGGTGTTAAAAAAGTATGATGATTGGAGGCATGCCTTAGAAGATTTTAAAAATCATTCAAATTTAGAATACCACAAAAAATGTTTATTAGATGCAGACCATTTTTTGAACATGTTAAAAAATCCAACTAAGTCAATTGATAAAATAATTGATACTGAAAAATCTAAACAAGTGTTGAAAAATCGAAAAAATATAATTCCGATAATTGAAGCCATTATCCTATGTGGTCGTCAAAATCTAGCTCTAAGAGGACACCGTGATTCTGGAAAGATTGATACAGACTCTTCAAACAATGAGGGTAACTTCAGAGAAATTTTACGTTACCGTGCCAAGGGTGATATTGAAATGCAAAATTATTTAGAAGGTCCTGGAAAAATGAAGTATATTAGTCACCGAAGCCAAAATGACATGATTGATGCTTGTAATAAGGTGTTATTAAATAAAGTGGTTTCTAAAGTCAATGCAGCGAAATGCTTTTCAATTCTGGCAGACGAAACTGCTGACATTTCAGGTATCGAGCAAGTATCATTATGCGTTAGATATATCGAACTGAACACATTGACTCTTACAGAAGAATTTTTACAATTTGTTCCCACATCTGATATGACAGGAAAGGGAATAGCCAATTTAATCTTAGAGAGTCTTAAACAATTTGGAGTTGATACAAAATATTTACGTGGACAAGGTTATGATGGGGCAGCAGCAATGTCAGGAAAATATAACGGTGTCCAAGCTCACATACGAGAAATATATCCAAATGCCATTTATGTGCATTGCTCTGCTCACTCATTAAATTTGGCAGTTTCCAAATCTTGCAGTGTACCAGAAATACGCGATTGTTTGGGAACAATTGGGCAAATTCGTGATTTTTTTATCTTTCCAAAAAGAAAGTTCATATTAACATCAAAAATCGAGAGCTCTTCATTATCATCAACAAAAAAAACACTAAAAAGAAGCTGTGAGACTCGATGGATTGAGCGATATCATGCGGTTCACGACTTCTTAGAACTCTACGAATTTGTCGAAGAAGCGTTAGAAGATATATCAATGTGGAATGATAATGATACATCAGACAAGGTAAGACGTCTAAGAAGCTGTATATTAAATGTAGAATTTATTTTGAGTTTGATAATTTTAAACAAAGGATTTGCTTTAGGTTTGGCCTTATCAAAGTATCTTCAAACAACAAGTATTGACCTTAAAGAAGCCATGTCCTTAGCAAAAAACACAAAACAAGAACTAGAAGAGATCCGAGCAAATGCTGATACTTATTTTAGAGAAATGTTTGAACAAGTTAAATTAATGACTACACGATTTGATATTGAAATTAAGATTCCGAGGACAGCTAAACGACAGACTAACAGATGCAACATTGAAGTGGATAACGCGGAAACCTATTATCGAATATCAATATTTATCCCGTACCTAGATAAATACATCAATGAGTTGGAGAACCGATTTACAAATCACCACACTACATTGTCAAGTTTCCATTCTTTATTCAAAGAAAATGGGTATGATGAAGATTTTATCAATCTTACAAGGCAGTATAGTGAAGATCTGGAGGACGTTGGAAATCGTGAAGAGATATTTATAAATGAATTTAAACTTTGGCAAAGGAAACTCAAAAATTTACCGGAACTGGATAAATCAAAAAATGCGATCGATGCCCTTTCTGTGTGTAACAGAGTAATGTTTCCAAATGTGTTTAAGCTTTTGTAAATATTAGCAACTCTTCCGGTGTCATCTGCTTCAAATGAAAGGTCATTTTCTGCCCTCAAGCGAATTAAAACTTACTTGAGAAACTCTACATCTGAGGTATATACATCTTTATATTATAGAAGTATTAGACATTAATAACTGTTGAAATATACAATTTATATTAGTACTTAATTCAAATTTAATAAAACTTACTTTTTTTTTTAAACAGGGAAGACTTAACGGTTTAGCTATGTTATCCATAAACCGTCATCACGATATAAGCGCAAACGAAGTTCTTATTGAATTATCAAACAAGAAACGACGTTTGGAATTTTTGTTGTAGTATAATATTATTAATATTCAATATGCCTATTTAAGTTGTTTTCAATTTTTTAATAAAAGTATTATTACAAAAATGAGTGTGAAATTTGAATGTTTTAACAACTATGGTATTTCGTCTTTGATAAAACATTGAATTGGGCGAAGCAATCTGATAAACATATGTATATAATATTATTTGATCCCCCCCCATAATACAATTGAATGTACGCCACTGTTGAGCGTCATAGCCACTCCAGCTATAGTTGCATTGTATGATAGTTATAAAGATAGTAAATATAAGGAAAAAATAGTAAAAGAAACAATTCGACACAACAAAGAAATGGAAATAAATAAAGGTTCTGGATTGAATAAAAATCAAAAAAAAATCGAAAAAATGAATAATTATGATATAACAAATTTTAGAAAAAATATTAAAAAAATTAAAGGAGTTTATACTCTTTTTTGGAGCAAAGAAAACAATAAAAATATTGAACCGCTAAGTAATTTTGATATAAATCAATTTGGAAATAAAATAAAAAAACTATAGAGGGTGTTTCATGAGAGATGAATTACCTATGAAATCATGGGTAAATGAATGTGGAGTTCTTAATTTAAATGATTCTACTCAAAATGGTTCTCATTGGGTCGCATGGAAAAAAATTAACAATAAAAAAATAAATATATTTTGATTCATTTGGAATAATTCAACCACCAAAAGAAGTTGTATAATATTTGGGTAAAGATAATCTTTATTGGAATGATAAAACATTTCAAAACTATAAAGATCCACCTATATGTGGACATTTGTGCTTATAATTTATTGAAAATTATAAAAAATTTATTTAAAAAATAAGACTTAATAGAATAATTTCTATTAAAAAATTCTGTTTAAGAACTCGTAACTCATTTTTTAAATAATTTTTCTTCTTTCATTTTTAGACTTAAAAATAAGAGAATACAATCCTGATTCACTTATATAAATTGTTTTCTTCTCATATTGATTGATATATCTAACCAGACCCGGCAATTCGTCGGGTCTGGTATTTAAATATTCAAAATTAAATTTTTCATCTTTATCTACATGTTTTTTAATTGCATTTTCTGTATCTTTATAACCTAAAATAGTAGCTACATCTTTAACTTAAAACCATGGATTGGTTTTTACTTTATTAATGATATAAATGTAAAAAATAATAAAATACTTTTAGAATTATGGATTCCATTATTTAATAACTGAGAATTTATACAAAATCTGACGTTTACCCAAAAAAGGTGAACATCAGATTAATAAAATTAAAGAAAAATGTATAGAATTTAAAAAAAATAATGATATAAATGTAAAAAATAATAAAAAATATTGATATAAATGGATGATGATTGTCATCTTCAATTCTTCACCTAATCTTTCCTTAAATTGAAGTAAATCCAGTCGATTTTTTTTTCAACACCTAAATTATTTGCATCGATACGATATTCTAGCCACGAGTTAATTGTAGCCATATCAAACGCATATGTTATAAGACGTAAGGTCCATTTATTAGATTTTATATGAGTTAGAAATAAACTATTAAGCATGTCGTGTTTATCAACACCTCCCATTGAAGTGTTATAGTTTAAAATAATTTCTGGGCGATCAACTTTTTCGTAATTTTTTTTGTTTTTATTCCATCGTCTTACCGTATCAGGCGTCCCTGATGTAATACAGTTAGTCACCAATACAACTGATTTTGAATCGTACCACTTTAGCATACCTATATTAGTATTAGGCACGGCTGAAGAAATTTCAAAAGAAGCACCACGACCTAAATTAGACATAGTTTTATCACTAAGTAGAGGCGGATTCACAAAACGATTAGTTTTGGCCGTACCGGTGACATAAATTTTCATTTCATCTAATGCATGAATTAAATTAAAACTGGTAAAGAAATTATCAAAGTATAAATAATGTTGGCTTGGTTTTACTATGTCATTTATAAGTTTTAGAACTACTGCTCCACCAAACCCGTAAATTTGTTTTTCTTGCTCGTTAATTTCTGTATTTCCTCCTTGATACATTAACAAATCATACACAAGACTACTTGACTCACATAATAAATAAATTTTGAAGCCCCAAGGATGTGGTTTTCCACGCATATAATATTTGACATAGCTTTGCCCTTTGAATTGGACCATATTTTGCTCGTCTACGCTCAAATTACACTCAATTTCCAGCAAATTACATTTTTTTTTTTAACAGTTATACAAAAGACGCACTTTAAAAAATTTATCTTTATTGTTGCAAGGAATGGTATCATTATTGACAACATGAAATGTTCTCCGCAGTTGAAAAAATCTATTTCTTTGCATATTATTAGCGATAATATTAATTCTCGACTTCTGTTGCCAGTAAATATGAACGCGAGGGAGGCCATAAACCCCAATTAGTAAATGAATGCTTATAAATGTTTTTATTTCCGAAGAATTTGTTTCGATAAAATTTTTCACACCGGTTTGCTGTGCATATATGTTTGTATAGCCAGCCATTTCTCCAATATCATATTCAGTAAAGTATTTAAAAAAATAATCTATAGGCGGTGGCAAAGTATTAGGGACTGGACTTTTTTTTAATTCTTCTAAATGGATACAACTAATGGCGATTCGGACCATTTAATAGTTTTTTTAGGAAATCCAGACAAAACAGTTTGATAATTTATGTGATTCTGCGGTGGGGCTGTAATATTTGCCGCAGAAACATTGTTTTCTTGGCTAATATCATACAACGTAGGCGGAAAACTTTTATTATTTATTGATTGCTCACTTTCTTCTGTGTTAACAGCATCATCAATACCAAATAATTCGTATTCGTGTAGCAAATTATCAAATTCGTCAGAGGGAATGGGAGGAACAACTGTTCATTTCACCTTCAGAAAATTTGATAAATCCGTGTTATTTTCTTCATCTAAAAGCTGAAGTATATTACAATCTCTCAAACGTTTGTTCTGACATGTTAAAAATATAAGTAATCTAAATAAATATATTATAATATATGAATGCAAATATAAAATAACACCGAGTATAACGGAAACGCATGAAGACAAATACAATACGTAACTGAACGAAGTACAACAGC